TCACTGTGTATGGTTATTATTGTTATCATTGCCCACGCGGCTTCCATGGCGACTGCGCGCGGTGATCAATTGTTGTTGTTGTTGTTGCTGCTGCTGCTGATGGTGGTGGTGGTGGGTGTGACGCCTTTATTTGTCAGGAATAACATTATGAAAATGTGCCGTGCAGTTGATGATGATGACAGAGGCCGGGCAGCGCGGCCGGTAGCTCTCCGTCATCGCTTTGTTATTTCGCTCATCTACATTTTCCAGCGGGCGGGCGGGCGCACACGCCTCCAGGTTGGCAAGGATTGTTTGCGACCGCCGCCAGTACGGGAATGAGGACGGCGGCGGCGGACGCGAAACTTTACCGACAACGGATAATCAATAAGTAAAACAAAGAGCATACAGTCTGCTCGCGCGCGCTGTTTGAACGGAGTGTATCGCTGCGCGCGCGGCCATTTCTCCCCGTCATTGTTTTCTGCCGCCGATGGCACTCGATAAAGTTCCTGTCACGCGCGCGCCACAAGGCGGAGGGCGGGCGGCCCCCGCTCGGTTACGTCCTTATTGACAGGCAACCCCTTTCGGCGGCGCGAGGGCGGCGGCGGCGAGCCCCATTCAGTTACGCGGGTTGTGTGTTTCCCTGCTGCTCCCACACGGCGGCGCCCGCACGCCAAGTTGCCTAATACAACGTTAGTGTCATTTACCTGCGCCCGGGGCCGGCGGGGGTCCGCCCTGGGGGTCCCCCCTGGGGGGTTGCGTGTCCCAGGGGCATTAGCGGCGCCCCCTAGTTTAGTTTCGGGGGGAGGGTGGCTGGCGGCCGGCGGTCGGTCGGCTGGTGCGGGCGCGATAGAGCAAAAGGCGCTGGATTACAGCGCAACGCGAAGCCTTGTCGCGCTAAGTGGCCCCCTCCCCTGCGCGCATAGCGCGCCCTCTGCAACTCTAGTTTCGGCCACATTACATTTCCGGGCCACATTTATGTGGTATATGTGTAGCGCGTAGGCTTTGCGTGGTGGTGGCCACCGCCACGCGGCAATGCCGACCTGTGTGTGTGTCGGTCTCACTTAGGCCGAGGTTCGCCTTGCACCGAGAGAGTTCTCAGGGCTAGGATATGAGTGTCGTGACAGCCCTGCTACGCCTTATGCGCTCGCTCGCCTGGACGTAGCCATATTTTTGCAACAACGCATGCCTCCGAGTGAGCGAGGTGTGTGTGTGTGTGTGTGTGTGTGTGTGTGTGTGTGGCTTGTTGCAGGCCGTAACTCACGTCAGCGCAGAGCCGCAAAGGCGGCTCGGTTCAAAGGACTGCCACCCCCTCCACATCACCTGATCAAAAGGAGAGAGGGAGTCGCGGAGGGAGGGGGTCTTTAGAAGGGCTAGTTTTGCGCTCCTACGCTGCGTAGCGGGGCTTTTGGTAAAGGGGGGCTGTGAAAGTCGATATGTGGACATCGAGAGGCCTCGGCGTTTGTTATAGAGTGTTTGTGCCAAATTTTCGCCAAGCCCCGTTTAGTCAATAATGACCCAAACTTGGTTGACGACGCGTACAATACCAGAAAGAGACGAAGCCAAACTTGGTTGACGACGCGTACAATACCAGAAAGAGACGAAGGGACGGGGAGGGGGGGGGCGTACTTTCGGCTGTAGGAAGGACATGAAAGGGTCCTGGCGGGGCCATCGCCCCGGGGCCGCCCGGGGCCGCCCGGGGCCGCCCGGGGCCGCCCGGGGCCGCCCGGGGCCCCCTCTCTGCCGCCGTGCGGCGGTTGTCCGGCGGCGGCCGGACGGCTTGTCGTGTTTACGACGCATTGTGCACAAAATGATGTCAAGTAGGACCGGCACCCCGGCACCCGATAGAAATATTGGGTTATCCACCACGGCCTGTCTGTCTCGCAGCAAATGTATGAAGAAGCCGCCCATACATTTTGGCCACCGTCCCATTCCTCCGGTCGGCAGGCGCCGCCGCCGTGCCGGCCCCGGGGGTCGTTATCCCCGCTTTTGGAGAGGAGCCGCTGCTGCTGCTATTCAGGTGGCGCGTTGGATTTCCCCGTGCTCGCCCGACACTTATTGGTTCTGTCAATTAAACTTTCATTCAGCGTCGGCGGTAACTTTGCGGCATCAACGCGGCGGCGGTGGCCAATAGGAAATGAGGAACGATGAAAGTTGCCCAAATGTCGCCATGAGGGAGTGCGACTTGCAACTCTTTTCTCCCTTCTTTCAAATATTCCCAGCAGTATCTTACAGTTTTGTAAAAGAGAACCTAAAGACTCTATATGTTTAGGGAACAGTGTGTTCCTTAGAAATGAAATATTTCGTGCACATCTATAGATGCAGACCGGATGCAATTTTGTTGTACAATTTTACACCATTTGTTTATTGGGAACAAAGTTGCATCCGGCCTGCATCTATAGCAATACGTTTCCTTTTGTAGGATCAAAATTGTCCATTTACCTTTTGAGTGTAAAGGAGTACATATTAAAGGCACGAAAATTTTGGCTAGGCAAATGTGTTCTTGAAAAGAAAATCAAACACATGAAAAATATACTTAATTCATGAAAATGTTTTGTGTGTGTATGAGTTTTTGTGTGTTGACCCATCAAAACCAAAACAATTTGAAAGTCTTGACGCCACGACACGAAACCACCCCTGTTGTGTCTTTTCTCTGTTTTTGTATTTCCTTTTCAATAATTTTTAGCATGCAAAAAATAGAAGAGTCACAACTTTGCTCTGTTTCCCACACGTTGCTACTAACGGTGCTGTCAGCCCCGGCCGGCCGGTGGCCGTGCGCTGCGCTCGCCTCGCCGAGGCGCTGGACCCACCCTGACCTATTGTCTCGAGGGCAGCAGCCCTGGCAGCAGCCCCCCTGGCGCCGCCGGGATTAGCCGGCCGGGCCCGGCGCCCCGACCTGGCCGACCTGCCGACTGATTGGAAGGTGAGGTGTCTCGCTAAAGCGCCATAACAAACAGACGTTGCTTGCTTTGCCTGCCGCTCCGAGACATTCCCACGGTGCAGCGAGCGGGGCCCTGCACTGCTGATGCGCTATGCGGCGCTGTGTCGTCGGCTTTGGGGATTTTCCTCGATTGTTTTTCGGCGACGTGTTCTCTGAGGCCATCAAAGTACATGAAATGGGACCAATAAAACGGAAAGGTTCGGCATAAGCTCTTTCGGCTACCTCTTCCGTCCAATAAGCTCCTGTGGAAACTTAACCCTGAACGCATAGACACAAAGGTGTGTGTGTGCGCGCGCGAGCGTGTGCGTCACCACAGCGAAGCTTATTGCTTTGACAACCTTAGGTCTCGAATGCACGAACAGCGCGCTGCAGCGGTGGTATGTGTGCATATGGCGCTTGCCTTCGCGGGATGATGGGGTTAGGAGACGGGGACATTTCACGCTATTTGGCGAGCACGCGGGCTCCGCAACGGCATCTTTTTAAACCGAAATGTGACGCAGCCATACTCTGCCATTTCTCTGTCATCAGGGTCATCAGCGACACGCTGGCACAACAGCGATACTCGCACGAAAACACTTCCGGTGCTACATTTTTAATTTCTAAGCAAAGTTGTTTGCGAATTATTTATTTACGCTTATGATTCCGTGGGTGGGTGTATATATATACTCCGCACGGGTGGCGGTGGCGAACGTGCACATACGAGATATCAGCAGAAAGGTGGTGGTGGTGTGAGGGGGGGGGGGGGCGTACGTGTGGTTATGCGCGGCCGGGTGACCCTCGTTAGAACACGCAGGCTGATGGCTATCGAGGGAAGGGAGCCCCGCGG